CTTGTTCTCTTTTGGTTTCCACTGTTTCTATGCCAGTAAAGAGAGAGAGATTCTTCTGCAAAGCCTCCTAAGAATACAGAACTAAATACATCAGGATATTGAATTGTTTAAGAAAATGTGTTGCATTTTTGCAACAAACCCTGTACCTATAATGCAAGTTCAATGTCCATAGAAGCTTTCCCAAATAATACATCCCCCTCTGCCAAAATACTAAGCAACCTCCAGCAGTCAATAATGAGCATAATTAATTATTAACTTAAACAACAGATGACATCAGAGAAAACTGGCATAAATTATCCAAAAATGAACTGTGAGTGAATATGTCCATTTAATGAGTCTAATTTACATGTTTTCCCCCCTGCTGTTCCCTTTGTAAATAATTTTTATTTAAATAACTTTCAACTCGAAAGCTAGAATTATAATTAACCTTGGAGTTACATGGGTTTGATGGATAAGCCATTCTTTCAGCCAAAATTTGCAATCTGTTCAAATCATTGATTACTATACCTGGCTGGTTGGTTTGTGGTTTTTTTTTTAGATCCATATTTACTTAGTTAGCAGCTCAGGACCTTGCTTAGAGCTCAGGTCACAGACAGAGACTCCTTAAATGGGCACTCATAAGATCTAGAACCATGCTTTTAAGGCAGTAGTGTTGGGTAAATACCCTAGGTGGAAATGTATATCTTCTGGTGCTTCCTTTTATACCCAACCCTGAATCATCACTGACACATCAATAGAATCAATGATAGGTACACGGCCTTCACAGAAGGCCCATCCAAGTTGCAGCAGACCCTTTAAATTCATTGGAGTGGGGGGAGTACAACAAGGACTCCTGCAGTTTTCTCTCTATAACATTTTCTTGCTGAATCTAAGACAACATGCTGAAGCCGTGTCATTGATTTGATCGACTACCACTTGCGGCAGTTCTCATTTAGCTGTTGAAAATTACTTTTTTTCCCCTTTATATCTTAGATGAACAGCTCATTCTGAGAACTGGCTTACTCTCACCCTCCATTTTCACACTTTGCCTAGAAAAAGAAAAGAACTTTAAAAGAACGTCTTCCTGTTCCTGTCACCACAAAAATAAAATCGCAAAGAATTTAATGCTTCCTGTCACACACGTGCTCGTGTGCACATGATCACACACAGTCAGTTTCCTTCATAACAAAAAAGAAAAGAACCACGGGAAAGAAAGCCGGAACCTCTTTGGTATTAAGTCTGTGGGATGTGCTACACAACCAACCATTGCTTCAAGTCAAACCATTCTCCCCTCCTCCCAGTGTCTGAACTGCACAGATCAGTCATTTCAATGACTAAAGGAATAAAGACTAGAAAATAGGATAGTTGCAGATTTGAGAAACTATAGAAGTGTCAATGCCACTTGTGTTATTATAGTCATTTTTGTATTAGTAGCATTTAGGGACTATGTTATCTAGCATTGGAGGATTGCTTTGATAGTTTGTTCAAAGAGTGATAAGATAGAAAGAAAAAATAATCTTTTTAGGTAGAGACATGTTTCTCTGTGTGTGTGTATGAATACACACACATGTGTGAATTTGAACATGTACTAGACACACTCTACCCATCCTGAGTGATTAAATAGATCGCCCAGCAGGAAGTTTTATAGCTAATTTTCCGTTTCTTTGACCTTTTGAAATAAGGTGATATAGTGTTCACATGCATTGCCCAATTTTAACAGCTTATTCAGGTTAATCTTGATGAATCTAATTCTTGGTAGCTAGTTGTTTGGTCTTTACACTTCATTTATTGGTGGATTCTGCTCTGGTTGTTACATAGATGGTGGCATTGGGTGGAGTGTTTTAAATCTAAGCTAATTCAATAATAAATAGAAATATATCAACAATAAGCATTACAAGTGGCCTCATAAGGAATCTTCCACATCAGTAAATTCTGGATCATGGTCTACTGGTCATAAAGAAGCAGAAGTTCTGGTGTTTGTTTCATTGACAGGTTTCATTGACAGGTGTTGATCCTAGGGGATCAACGAGCAGCTTCTAAGATGGTAAGCAAAGTGCTCAGATGGACAAAGGGAGGTATAGAACCCTAGTTTGCATTTCTCTTTTGGCAGCTTCCTCCTAGCTTCCCATAACAGAGCTCATGTCCAGAGTGAATTCACCAGGAATCAGTGACACTCAACTCATAGGGTCCTTTCCTTGAAAGAGCCCCCCGTAAGGGATCTGTCCTTATTTTACATTTAGTGCCTTATATTCTTTTTGTTAAAAAGAGCCTACTAAACTGGGTAAACTTCCAGCTCCATAAAATCTAGATCTACTCCTGTCTGCATGTGAGTAAGCATGATAGAGAAAATATGGTAAGTTTATGGTCTTATAATTTATGGTATTATAATAATTCATACCATCGTGAATGATTTCAGTCACTACCACCCATACAGCACCGTTTTCCTCATTTTCTTATTAGAGTAGTTTTGCTAACAGAATATATTTTCAGTTTTCTTCAGCCGGGATCAAAACTTCCTCAGGAAATTTAATTCTCAATTTTGGGTCTGAAGCTGATGTTATTTCTCGCCAAATCTCTCCCCAGCCATTTTGCACAGCGTGTAATGCCATAGCAAGCAACTTGTCACCTCCTGAAAAGTGTGTTTAAACTCACAGATACCCAATAATGATTATTACAGGATGCCTTCCTAACCTTTTATTTTTTGGTCTAAATTTGCAGTGAACAGTTATGACCTAGAATGACTATCCTATCTTTTTTGCTTCTCAATTCAGTTATGAATTTATGATTTTTTTTTTCTGGTAGTAAAAAGCACATTTTTTTCTTTATTTCCTTTTGTTTATTGTTGTTCAAGTACAGTTTTCTGCTTTTCCCCCCACTCCTCCCCACCACCTCAGCCCTTCCCACCTCCCTCCCCTGTCTCCACACCCCCCCTTGTTATTGTCCATGTGTCCTTTATAATTGTTCCTGTAAATGCTTCACCCTTTTCCCCCATTATCTCCTCCCCTCTCCCCTCTGGTCACTGTCAGCCTGTTCTCAATTTCAATGTTTTTGGCTATACTTTGCTTGCTTGTTTGTTTTGTTGATTAGGTTTCTGTTAATGGTAAGATCATATGGTGTTTGTCTTTCACCACCTGGCCTATTTCACTCAGCATAATGCTTTCCAGTTCCATCCATGCTGTTGCAATGGGTAGGAGCTCCTTCCTTCTTTCTGCTGCATAGAATTCCATTGTGTAAATGATATGATTGTTTTTAAATCCCACTCTGGATCCCTCATATCACCCAGACCACAATTCTTTAAGTTCAGCCCTTGGAGGCTCCCACACTGGTCCCATTACAAGTGCATGTCCCCATAACCAGAAGTCCTGGGGAGTTAGGTACCCATAAACCCTCTTCTCCGAAAGGTCTGCAAAAGAGAACGCTGATGAGCAGTGAAAATATTCTAATTAGAGTAAATCACCTCCCACTATTCTCAAACTAATGGTATCCTGAGAAAAACCCAGGCAAAGAATTGACTGTAGTCAATGTAAATACCAGACGCTTTGGGGCAAACTTTTCAGCCTAAAGGATGGAGGGAGGCATATTCTTCAGAATTTTGTTAAGGATTTTTTAAAGAAATTTCTTAGAATTAAGTACCTCTTTCAGCTTTAATTATGATTTTGCCACCAGCAAGAATAGTAATAATTGCTGAATACAGTAAATAATATTACAAGTTATATCTGAGGAAAGATTCATGCCCCCTTTCCAGCATAAATCTCAGCAAAAAGGTAAAAACAGAGAGCCGGGGGAGGGAAGCTGCCCAAGACCAGAACCGAAACCTCTCTCAGAGTTTCTTCAAGGACACCACCAGGTACAGAGTGTTGAGATGGGGGCCCATCTTGTTTCCCACTGACGAATTCCAGCCACTCCTTGGTACCTGTTTTCTCACCATCCTAGCCTCGAGGCCTACTGCATGTGCCTGACACACAGCAGGTGTTCTAGCAAATATTCAATCAGCAGAGAATCAAAAAGTTTCCTTTAATTAAATGGTAGTAAAATCACCAATGTATTCCCGTGACAGACTTGCTCTAATTCAGGTTGACGCTGCGTGTTGTCTTTTGACCCCTGCTCAATCTCTTATTTGCTTATTTGCTTTTGACTTAATTGTTGTGGTTTGGCATACTTGTGCACAGAATTTAGAACCTCATTCTGTGCTAGGCTGGTCGAGCATAAACTTACAGTTTGCTGGCTGACAGTGTGAAAGGGTATCCAGGAGACTAAGCATGATATAGTAGTCCTGAGGGCATTTAAGACGAGTTTAATCAACCAGGATTCCAAGCTACCTATTATTTTGTTTACAGTGCCACAATACGAAAGTTCTCACATTGTGTCCTGATGCTTTTGAGATTTTTCCTATGCATTAGTCTGTGACCTGGCTGCCGGTTTGTTCATGCCAGTTAACACCGTTTGGAGACCTGTAATTGTACATGTGAGCACCCCACATAATCCAGGCGGCAGCATCCTTCTTATGGAAGCAATTGTCACTCCCAGAGTTGTATCAATAATGATAAGAAAATTGTGAATTGATCAACAATTGTTAAGATGAAGCGAATGATCAAAACTGAACACAGCCAAGCACAGCCTTGAATCAGGACAGGCAACCATCAGAGTCCTCGTGACTGTTGAGAACTCAGACCCAGCCGGCACTGCAATAGCTTTCAATGACATGGCAATACAATGCAATGTGGAGCCTTAGGAGCATCAGTGAAAAGGATCTGAAGAGTAATGTATTCGTGTTAGAAACCAAGGACTACGTCAGTGTTGAAGGAGGGAGTGTGACATAAAGTGAGGTTGGAGGGAAAAGGAATGCTGTGCGTTGAGCAAGAATTAAGCAGCCTGGGACTCATGCAGCAAAAATCCTTATGTAAGGCTTAAGTGAGCGAGAGAGCTGGAAACTGCATTTCTTCCCTCCAACCCCTCAGTTCGTATGCAGCTGTGCCGATTGTAATTAATTACAAAGGAAAAAGCTGATGGTCAATACATACTGGTAGTGAAGGAGGCCGAGGGCGCCTGTCCAAGGAACTGCATGATGAACCTGCACACCAGGAAGAAGCACTAACGAGGAGATTGTGAGACAGAGCAAGGTAGAATTCCAGGGGACTCACAAATAATTACCGATGATAATGAGAGTGAAATCAGTGGTGGCAGACAGTGGCACGGGGAGGTCAAAACTTCATCCCTTGGGCTGTCGGTTGACAAGAGTCTTATGTGGGAGGCATTGGTGAGTTTTAAATTATGAAATCTGAAGGCCCCAAGCAGTCTCAGCCACTCCTTGGCTATGATTCCAGCAGTGCCTGACAGAACAGAAGGGAAGAAATTTTCAGATCACGTGGCATTCTTTTATGTTATCATTTAAAGGTGGTATGACATTGTTGAACTTAGAAGGGCTTTAGATTTAAAACAAATGGGTTTAGACTCCTGTCTCTTTCACTTAATAACCAAGTGACTTGGGTAAGTCATGTAACTTTTTCAAATGTCTGTTTACTACTCTTTGAAATGGGGAGACGCTATTGTCATAGTGTTGCCAAGCACTGTGATTATTCCAATTACTTGATAGCCTAGACATACAATTCTCGGGTTGTTTTAAGTTGTTTTTTAATCCGAAGGTGATTGATTTGTCCTGGACCATTCTAATTCTTTTTCTCTGCCCAACGGCTGGTCTGAGTAGAAGCAAGATCCTGTAAGGTCATCCCCTACTTTGGGGTGCAGGTGGGTGTGCATTATTTTTAAAGAATCATTTTAAAAATATATATATACGCATGGCCCAGGATCAGTGATACACACACCAACGTGGGCTGGAATGAGTTAAGTCAAAAATAAGAGATTAAGCAGAGCTGACTGTCTGCCACTTGCTCCCCAGTTTCTCTCTGTCTCTCTCTGAGTTTCACGAAGATATTTTTTTAAATATACCTCTATGTCCTGTCTGCCTGTCAGGATTTCCAGTCTGACACAGAAAAACACAAAGACCAAATGAGGCCGAAAATGTTTACTGTGTCCTCCTCTCTGCCACTTTATATACAAACTGAATTATTACAGAATCAGGAGTCAGTTTTATTTACAGTGAAGCCTCTAAGGATGTACTTAGACACAGCTGAGTTGACAACCACAACACTTTGACACTGCAGTCAAAATGGGCGCTCTTTCTGCTCTTTGTCTCCGAGATCCGCCAAGACCACTGCAACAATGTGGCCAGTTTCCAGCCTGGTACACCTTCCACACCTCTCCAAATACACAACTGTAGGTTTAAGAGGGTTTTCTATTTAAAGGGGCATCCATATTAACCTCTTATATACAAAAGTCACTTAATTGGTCTTCAAGGATCCCTCCTGGCTTCTTTTACCCTTTTCTTTAAGGACCAAAAGGCAAAAAGCATTTGACACTCCTCCATGAGGTCACAGCTGCTTTCTCTCTGGCCCTGACAAGAAGCAGCAATGGGTTCTGATTGTCAGAGTGCCCAGAGAGATGCTTCTCTGCCATCAGAGAGGATGCAAGTCTAGGAAGCAAGACGAGGGCCTACAAAGCAAGGCCAGGGTCATCGTAGGCTGGGGATCCCCATTCCCATTCTTATCCCCAAGAAACTTTATCAGGATGTATGAACCTACCTCTAAAGTCATAGTTGATGGGGAAGCAGCTCAGAGTCCCCTGAGGCACCGGTTAAAAGTTCAGAGCCTTGCCTTCCCACTGAAAATTCTGATTCAGGCAGCCGCGGGTAGCGCCAGGGGATCGGGAAAGCTTTGGGAAAGCCCTGAAGGCCTGTGAAGCAGCCGCCCTATCAGTAGAGCCTGACTGCTATGCCCGTTGGACAAAGAGAGCACTGAGCTTCAGAGTCAGAGTGTGAGTAAGGGGCTACATGGAGTCATAGACCAAAATCTGTTAGAGTCCAGAGAGCCCACACTTCCACCCACTGTGATACAGTCCCTCCAGTGCAGTGGGTGATGAAGTCTTAACTCACTTCCTTCGCTGTGGCGTCTATTACTTTTCAGCATGCTTCCAACAGCTCTGTGTTAATGTATGCTGTTGAAATCTAGTCACCGGAATTGTGAAATCCAAAACTCTACCTTTAAACCCATTTTAAGTCCATTGGCCACAGTGTACAGGCCTGTAGGTAGATTCAGACCTCTCCTGAGAGTCAAGTTGATAGCTTTGTGACAGCTCTTCTCTGCTCTATTCTAGCTGCTTTTTTTCAGACATATACAGGATCAAAACTGGATTTCCAGATAATTAAAATGGAATGAAGACCTATTGATATACATATGCAAATGTTTTACCCAGAGATTCTTTATGTCTAGAGCAGTACTCTTCACACCAATTGTAGCCTTTGTTTTCAAGTATAAAATTAATAAAAGCAAAACTCTGGTTGCAGATGGGATGAATATCCTAGAGCCTAGGGTTTAATTCTCTCCCCCACTGTCTTCTCCTCACTGTGACACCCCCTGGGGTCCCTCTCACCCACAAAGGAATCCAAACGCTCCACAGAACACTTTTTCCAATGATAAAAAAGCAGATGCTAATGAAATACATAAGAGATTGCTGAGAGAGTAAAGCATAACAAATAAATAAAACATTCTTTACTTGTCTCCATTGCTGGAAATTAAAACAATATGATAACTGAAGGCATTAGACTTGGAGTTAGGAATTCTGCACTCCGTGGCACAGGGAAAGCCCTGGGCTCACCTGGCTACAGTAACATGTCCCTCCCGAGCTCTCTCTTCATGGCCTATCGCCCTGCTGGCTGGTAGGTGACATACAGGTTGTAAATTAAATACACATCGTGGGTGTTAGCCATTATAGTTGCCTTGATTGTGTAGTGAGATTTCTAGAATTGAAGTTTTAAACCATGTAAGAACTTAGTGTTTACCGTGAACACTCTGCTACCATTATTATTTTCCTGCTTACTAGTTCTGGAACAATCCAAGTAATTAGGCAACCATGAATCATTGTTCGGTTGCTAAATTTGTGAAACAAGTCCAAGTTTTACAGACATTTGCAAAAGGACATTTAACATGAGCCAAAGTCTGCAAGTTTCGAGGTTTTCTGTATGTTCACAGGAATCACAACCAAGCAAATGACCTAGTCAGGACAATGACCCAATGTGCCCACAATGAGGATGTGAGCCAACCAGAACACAAAGGAAAGTACAGTCTCTGCCGGGTGGCAATGACCTTGTTCTGACCCAGAGAAAAATGTTCATGTTCTCATCAGTCTTCCCCAAAAAGACTACAGTAGGTGTAAAAACACCCATTTCCTGAGCCAAATGGCCAGCCTAGCCTCCTTCACAGCAAAAGCCTCAGTTTTTAGTTTCTGAAAGTGAGCTTGATTATAGCCAGGACTAACAACACACTCCCCAACTGCTCAGATTTCTTCTATCTCCTGTACATGGAGGAGTGAAAAGAATATAACTTTTGGCATCAGATTGCTCTATGATCTTAAGCAAGTTACTTAAAGTCTCTGAGATTTGGTTACCTTGACTATAAATTGGGGATAATAAATACATATTTAGGGGGTGATGGGTTAAATGATATTATATATCAGCAAACACATTGAAGAATGCCAAGAAAGCATAGTCGTTATTAGTAGCACTATTTGAGTAAAGGCCAAACATTGGCAAATCCTTTCCCATCATCTCCAAGTCATCTTCTCTCCTCTCTGAGTTCCTATTGAAGGAAAATTAAAAACTCTTCTGTTAATAAATGTCCTCATTAACTAATACTCAGACAAGTGGATCTCAATGCCTGAGCGTACATGAACCACTTGGGCTCACTGGGTTGGGGTAAGGCCTACGTAGGTATAAGATATTTCTAACAAGCACTCATTTTAGTGTGCACTCAGATTGAGAGCAAATGGCTTAAACTATTAAACTGTTTACCATTAGTTCTCCTGATTCAAGACTTTCACTACTCCAATCCACTCTCTAGTGTACTAGTAAAATTGTCTTCCGAACAATCAAATATGACCTTGTCGTTTCTATATTTGAAAACTTTAGTTAGCTTCCTTTGCCTGTAGCAAAGATTGTAAATATACTTCTAAATCCAATTCCAGCAGAGTTGGTGGTGGCTTCCTAAAGCCCTGTGGAGAGATGGGCTGGCCTGGGCTCAGCAGGAAAGAACACCACTTACGGCAGATTGTGGTATCTGCTGTGAGAATAAAAAGCTGAAAGCTCTGGGCTTTGCCATTCCTGGCAAATGGAATAAAGCGAAAGCCCTAATACAATGCACAAGGTCTTGCACGTGTTATTTCTAGCTGTGTTTCTTGCCTATGAAGCCACAAGTTCTAGCCAAAATTTCTTATTTTCTTACTTTTCCTCTCAAGCATGAGTTCTTAACTCCATGATCTGCCCATGCTATTCCTTTGCCAGAAATGGCCTGGCCCTCCTTCCCCAACCCCATCCTTGATTCCCTAATCCATCTTTAAGATTCAATCTGAATGCTGAGAATTCCTGTGACTCTACCAGATATAATTAATCTCTCTTTCTACCTCTATACTTGTGAAGAATTTTTTTCTCTACCTTTATAACTGGCTTTGTCATAATATCATATGGTAATTTATACTGTGTTTGCATATTCCAGTTTCCTAGTACATAGTGTACATCATTAATGCTCAGTAAATGTTGATGAATGGATGAATGAATTCCTTCGCAACAGATACTATTGCTTACTCACGTTTGTGTCCCAAAGCCCATCGGATGCAGAGTAGGAGCTCGGGAGTCTGCTGAGTGACGGCTGCCATCCATATGGCAGAGTGCTCTGGGCTCATTGTGAGTCACAAACCAGGAGTCGCTAGCATGCTTCCCTCTGGAGAGATCACTTCCCACAGCAGCTCTTCCTTTCAGTCTTTAGGCCTGTTTTGTTCCCTATTTAACAGGAAATAATTGAATGCTCACACTGACTCAAAAATAACTTGAAAAGCTATAAAAATCATAACAGGTCTATTAGTAATATTGCGCAGGATGCTTTGTGGCAGCCCTGCCGAGCGCGTCTTTGTGCATTTATGTGGCACGTGCTCTTCTTACTCAAGTGGTCAAGGGCAACCCACCAGCCACTGCTCACAACCCTGTCACGTGCAGCTCAGCCTTGCTGGAGGCTCAGTGCAAGCAGACCTGACCAAGCTGTCCATGTGTGGAGTAAAGGGACAATGCCCAGGACACACTCAGCATTATCCCTCAATAGTTAGCGTTGCAAAAGCAATGCCACATCCTTGCTCCCTCACCTCAGCCCACCTGAAACAGAAGGGCTGTGCATTTCCCTACTAACTAGAGAGGTGATTCTGTCTCAAAAGAACTCTTATACGCTTTTAAGCATGAAAATGCTGAGATGCACAAATAGTTAAACTTTCTTGATTCTTTGTGGTTTACTCATTTAAATTAGCATCACTGCAGAGCAGAAACTATTTTGGCTCTATCCATAAGTGGAATATCTAATGTAGAATTGCATTATAATAAAATATGCATTAATGCAAGCCTCATAAAGTGCTTTTCATGTTCTGCAGGCATTCAAAAGTTGAAAATGCCTATAATCTTATTTTAGTTGCTGCTCACATGATGATATATTAGGTTAATATGGTTAATTAAAAGTCACATTTGAAACAGTCAAAGGGATAGTTAATTTGCTGTTGACATTAACTTTAACACAGTGAAGCATTGTGGAATCGAGACAATGGGATTCGTTACTCCTGCTAGGAACAGATGGAGAATATTTTATAACATTCGGGAAATGCCATGTGCACGACACTCAAGAAAATGCAACTAACCATGCCCTAAAATGTGTGCCATTAATAACAAATTTTTTGCTTAAAAAGCCACTCTCAAAGTAATATCCAAACCACTTAATTGCCTACTTTTAAATGAGCGTGATGAGAGGGAGTTTTTTCCAGGTGCCACGTATTGGACGGTTCAGGTCTGATTAGTTGACTGTTTGGCACATTCCTCAGAAAGGACAGAGCCTGTCCCTTTCAGCTTGTGATAAGCTGCTGTTCTGATGTTGAATGTGAGATAAAATCTAATAAAGTCCACTCCCTACCACTTAAAGCTGAATTTAAAATAAAACAACTGGCCATTCTACTCACAAACATCTTGACTTCCTATTTATAAAGCTTCACCCCTCTGCCCTCCTGCCTAAAGTCCATACTGGTTCAGAAAGCAGCTGGGTTGCCCCAGTGCCCCTCATTTCTCCTGCGGTGGTTCTGGCCGGTGCATCAGGTGGCACCGGCTGCTCTGCACCTCACCATCCATGCCTGCAGCAGACACAAAGACGGGCCCAGTTCCACTTCCCATGAATTATGCCTCCCACATTTTTTAAGTATTTTAAAGACCTTTTCTAAGGATGTCCTTCTCGTTGCCCTTTTTCCTGTATCATGAAATAAAAACATGGAGCTAGGCCTGTAGGGCACACAGGAAAAAAAAACTAGCTCTGTGGGAGCCTGGGGCATGTATCCTGACAGCGGAGAGAGGGGGCGGGACAGCATCTGCGAGCAGCTAAATGGGACAGAAAGGGAACTCTAGGTCCCAGGGACAAGTTGCCCTCAGTCCCAGGACCCAGGAAGGGGAGCACTGGGTCAGTGTGGGTGTGGAGCCTGGTAAGCTCAGCTTCACCAGTGCTACCTACCTACCTGCCATCCCCAAGAGCTTGGTGGGAAATCAGCATGGTTGTGCTAATCAGTGATCTCAGATTTCATGTAATTGGAGATCAGCTGCTACCAACACAGAAGGGAGTTTCTTTTACAAGGTCTACAAGTTATTTATTTTTCATTTTGGCTATTTTTTTCCTCATGCCTCTACTGAAAACCCTGTTCTGCTGGTCTCAGGTTTCCAAGCTCTCATCTTTTTTTCTTTAAGCTCCTATTAACTGCCCTGCTGCTACTTCCACCCCAGAGACACACACGCACACACCCCTTAAAGGGACAATAAACTACCACATTGTAAGGCTGCCCTAAACAGGAAGCACCCTGCGTTCCACAGGATTCATCATGAGCATCATGGACCAGTGTGTTGTCTGGGCAAGCGCCACACTGAGACTCAGAGACAGCCCCTGTTCTTAAGTGGTTGGATTCTTGAAAGTGAACTGGATGCCTTCCTAACCCTTTTAGAGCGAGTGCCGTATGCAAAGATCAACTTGAGTGTAAAGTTCAGGGCCCACATCAAACAATAAGGTTATATTTTCAAGGCTTTTTAACAAAGACTCTAAAATGGGTTAAATGTGGTCAAACAAAGTTGATGAAGAATATTAAAAAGCACAAAATATGCATCCTTGCAGGCAGACAAGGGCAGCATTCCAGGGAGTAAAACCCAAGTACCATTGTGGTGGTCTTCGGTGTCCATAATAAATCAAGTGTTTGGAGAATGGATAGAACTAATCAGAGAATGACCCAAGGATCTTCCAGCCCTAAAGCTAACTTGTTATTGTAACCAGAAAAGCCCTTAGAACAACACGTGCAAGCTGGAAAGGTCAAGCAAATTGCCCCCAGGTTCAAGAGTGACAAAGTTACTTCCAGATAGAGAGTTGGAAGTTCTGATGAAAGAGATCCCAGGGAAATGGGCTTTAGATGGTGTGTAAGGTTTTAAGTCCAGGAGCTGAAAGGAGAGGAATGTGTCAAACTCGATAAGGAGCATCAGACACCAGTGTTACATCAACGTGCCATGACAGTGGCAAGAGAACTTCAAGTGCTTCTTTCTGGTTCACTGTTGCTATAGTTTCAGGTTGTTCAGATTAGTTTAGTGAAATAATCCCGAGTATCACCAAAGATCTTAAAACCAAAGAGTTATTAACTACTTTATGTTTTTTAATTACTAGACTTTAATTTTTAGAGCAGTTTTGTGCTTACATAGAATTTCAAGTAGAAAGTACAGAGTTCCCATATAATTCATCTCTCTCTGCATGATTTTCCCTAATTAACATTTCCCAGTGAGCAGTGATTGTACATTTTTATTAACTAAAGTCCATAGTTTACATTAGGGTTCATTCTTTGTACTGCACATTCTATAAGTTTTGACAAATATATATTGACATGTATGCACTATTGTAGCATCATACAGAACAGTTAATTGGGGGGGCACAATGACTTGTTTGTTTTATTTCATTTAGATTCATTTTATAATTATCAAGTTAGGATTTTTATATAACTTACTGAGGTGAGATGCACCTAATATCAAATTAAGCATTTTTAGAATAATTATTTTTCAATGATAGCTCAGATTCTGATTCCTAGATATCTATCCAAGATTAAAACCCATGTAGGCAAGAAAAACAGCTAGCACTTACACATGGAGCAGAAACATCCATGTAGAAAAACTTGTTGACATGTAGTGCAAGCAAAAAGAGAGAATTCTTTCAGAACCTTTCTGTTCTTAGTAAAACTAGCTTATCCAGGCTTGCATCTTTTAGTGGGAATTGGATCAGTTAGTGCTCACAGGTTGCAACGAATTTGGAAGAACTGGGACTACTTCTCGGAAGTTGCTGCATGTACTTGATTTTTTCCCTTGATAGCCTGGAAAATCTAGTTGCTAACACATTTCAGAACAGTGTGCCAACACACTCACCAAAACTCTGAGGTCAGACTGTCCTGTTAATGCTGTGTTACATTCAGAGTATTACCCCTAAGTATGCTGAACAGAAGAAATGGTAGAGGATATTTTTATATTCTCAGGAGGTGGCCGCAGATGAGAGACGTCTGTGGAAGAACTAAGAATACAGAAGAATGGGGCGTACAGGAAGGGGTTTGGCAGGGAAAATAGTTCTGAGTTCAAAAGACAGGACAAAAAAGTCTCAGAGCACAGAACATAGAATCAATCTACTAGTAATAATAGGAAGAAGCAGAAAAGGGAAAACAGACAAAAATATGTCTCCTTTCCCCTTGAATTAAAATTCATATTTGTTCCATATGGAACCGTGCTACAGGACTTCTTTTTGCACTGTTTGATTTGGTTTCTAACTTGGCATTTGTTTCTCCCCACATTTAAGAGGCAAATTCCTTTACTGTTCATTCACCCCAGTCTGCTCCACCCCAAGTCTACTTTTTGTATATTTCTTTCTCTTTCATTGTGGAAGGATGATTTTTTAAAGAGAAGTTTAGCTCTCACTTGGATTTACCATTTGCGATTTTTAGAGAATTAGACTTCCTTCCTCTTTCTTTTGTGTCTGAAGGAGCCTCTACAAATATGTTGTAGTTGAAATTCTGGAGAAAATATTTCCAGCTCCCCACTGTATTCTCAGAGTACTTGCCAAAATCATTTCTGAGCTTTTTCAACTGGAATTATCTTTAAAAGACTAATTTTTGAGTGTGTGTCTGCTGACAGATTCAAGGAGATCATGGCTGTTGAGAGAAAAAATTTACTTTACTTCCCCATGGGATAAATGAGCAGCCTCTTGCACCATGTGTAAGAACTCTGAGCACAGGTAAAAGAAAATGAGTCCCTGACAGAGAGACATATGTGGCTGTTGATTTCAAGTGCACACAAATATAACAAACACCTCACTGATTCTACAAGTATTTATTTAGTGCCTGCTAAGTACCAAACACTATATACTTGGTATCAGCTTAGAAGGTATAGCCTCTGTTACACAACTTACAGCCGAACAGTCAACTGGGAGAAAACAAAATTCAAGCAAATGGAATAATTACATACTTGTTCACCTTGATGGAGAGTGACTATAGAGGGAGGGCTTTGCCTTGAAGAAGGTAGTCAGGAAAGGGCTTTTGACATTGGAAATGAAAAGGAGCCAGCCTCTTAAGTAACTGAGAGAATAACAATCCAGACGAAAAGACCAGCATGTGCAAAGGCCTGGTAGGGAAAGAGCTCTGAGTGTTTAAGGAACAGAAACGCAGTCCATGTGCTGAAGTGTGGCAAGAGAGAGGACTAAGGAGAAAGTTCCATGGTAAAGCCAGTGAGGTATACAGATGGGCCAGTCCTGCAGTCTG